CTGGGAGTCAGTGCAGTATGTGCCGTAGCACTGTAATTTTCCCTCAGCTTCTCCTTGTTGGTAAGTTTCCATTGGCTGTAAATATACACAAGGTCACATTCACTTAGGAAAGGATTCCTGGGGAAAAATTAGATATCTTGAGATTGGCACTTTTAAAACCTGAATATGTTTCTGAAGGATGCAGATAAATAAAAGAAGCTTACTCTTAGTTAATTTTATAAATAAATAGGTTCAGAGGAAAAAGCAATTTTTGACATTTTTAGACAGATGTTAACTACATCTGTCATAGATAGGTCACAAGAAACAGCAAGTATCTAGTTAGGGTCAGAAGCTATGATTACACCCTGTCCTTTTTTTTTTTTTTTTTTTTTAAGCTATACCATACTTCTGCCCCATCTTTAAGGAAAAATTTAGCAAGTTTCCAGCGAGTGGTTCAGGGAAAACACAGCTTTACTTTGAAGTATCTGAATTTTCCAAGTCACACAGTATTCAAGTTTTATTAATCTTTTGAGGAGAAGATAATTAGTTTTGATCTCATAGAGATCAAATTACTTGTATATTTGAGCTCTTGGTTTTCCAAATATACAAGTAATTTAGATTAGTGACTAATGTCCGCTTACAGTGTTTTGTTAGTATAATTATTGAGAAGAAAAATAATCATCATGCCCAATTAAAGTCCTCATACAAAACTTATAAAGGTTTATTTGAATTCTTTGAGTAAGTTCCTTTAAAATTTCTGTAATCTTATACATTAAAGTATAACCTATAGAAAGCATGTTATGCCACCCTGAAGCCTGCTATAAAAATTGTTTATGAAGTTCAGGCCAAGACTAAAATATGTTGAAATGGAGAGTTTTGAAAAATGTTCTATATAGCAAAGGAGATCAAATCATGCTAAAATGTAGAAAAAGACTATACATCAGTTTCCATGCTACATTATTCAAAAAAATACAACCATAAAAAAGGTAATAAGATTACATTTTCACATTTCATGGCTAGTAAAGTGCATTAGGCTGCTCAGATATTCATAACTTACTGTGACATTTGGGAAGATTACATTTTGTAGTGCAGAGCCATTACTACAGCTCAGATAATAACTAGCCAATGCCTGTACCTGGATTATGATCCCTGTCATTGAAAACAAATTTGTGTTTTGAAGGTTGATCAGCTTCAAATAACTATTAGAAAGGGTTAACATGACATAGTGTAGACACTATGCATGTTTTTTAGGTATAATAGATATGCATACATATAGTACATCAAATATGCCACACATTTGTATGTACAAATTTCTGCCATCAATTTTCTCCTTGACAGGCATATTTTATAGTATTTAAAGCAATGGAGGAATATTTAAAACACCTGTCTGGGTGTTGCCCTCACAGTATAAACTCAATTTAAAAGCTGTTGAAATATTTGAGTCTTTTTTGGAAATTACTTAAAAAAAATCTATAGCTTCTTGAAATGTTAGTTACTTATAGCAATGATTGATGTGAGTAATATTAAGGTGAAGGTAAGGTCTCTTAAGTTAGTTGTAATGAGGTTTTTGACCAATTTAGATCTGCATGGAGGATATATAATTGTTAGAAGAAAATTTTACACTATGAAAACTATCTTCAGACATTATCTTCCTGGCAGTAAATTGTTTCAAATGTATTGGTTGGTTTTGCTTATATTAAATGATGTACAATTGTACGGGTGTGTCGTAAGGAGTACCTTATTGTATTCAGCGGACAAGGTTTAGTTTCTGTCTTCTAGAAAATACTGTTGAAGGGTTTGTTGTCTTTATTACTATTGTATCTAGATGATTTTCTTAAAATATTTTCTCTTTGAGCTTTCCTTTTACCCAAAAGTTATTTTGAGATTAAAATCATTATATATAGTATTATGGAATTATTAGTTTCATATGGCCTTAGAGATTTTTTTTTTCTGCAACAGTTCTGAATCATTGCAATTCTTTTCCACAAGAAGTTTTTCTTCTGTCTAAAGAGTCTGTGACTCCTTAATTTTACATTCTCCTATGTGGATTCTCTCAAATTATCTTTCAGAGAATGCTGGTGTTCTTGTACCTGGACCAGACCTTTCTACTGCTAAAATTGATTAAAAATTATTTTTATCAAATTTACAGGTTGAAGTTCATGGAATTAATTTTCTCAATTTTGAATCTTACCTGTTAATTTTTCTTAATCATTGGCATCTGCTGCTGATTGTTATTACCCAAAATTAAATTTTTTAAATTTAATAAAAGATTGTCTTAACAGAATTATATGTTTAGTTAGTATTACCATATTGCTTCCTGGAAATATTTCAACAGGAGTGTATGAAAGTGTCTGTTTAATTTTGTTCTTACCTACTTTGAGTATTAATTTCAAACAAAGCTAAATTTATTTAGTAAATTTTTTTTTTCATGTGTCATTTGGATTTTTTAATGAATTGACTGCTTATGTCTTCCTAAAACTTTTTTTCACCAAATTGAAAATATTTTATTTCTACAGCTTAATGATTTTTGTACTCTTTAAGAATTTCTTGTATTTTGTGGCTTCTAATTTAACTTCTGATATTTTAAGTTACCTGGAATTTATTTTGGCATATGTTATAAGATAAGGATTGTCTTAATTTTTTAAAATGAAAATTTCGTAGCTCCATTTAATGCTTGTGATGACACTAATCCTATATTCAATTTATTTGTTCCAATCTCTTAATTAGGTTATTTTCTCTCTAGTACCATACAGTTTTAATAATTACTTTATACTATTTGTTTAATGATTCCAGCATTCTTTTTTCATAGAATTTCTCTTCATATTTTTCATATATTTAATTCCCAGATAGAAATTAGAATCACTATTAAGTTTCAGAAAAAAAATCATATTGGGATTTTAATGGTAGTGTGCTGCATTTATAGATTAATTTGTGAAAAGTTAACAACTGGAACAGATTTAATATTCCTATCCAGAAACAGGTCTGTTCATTTATCAAAAGTAGAAAAAAAAATTTTTGCTTTTAAGTCTTATGTATGTTTTATTTCACTCCTAGTTACTTTATACTTGTACCTAAGTATAAAGTATCAGAAATGTTGTTTTAAACTCTACTGTATTTTCTATTAGATCTTACAGGTATTTAGGAAAACTTAGCAATGTTACATATTTTGTATTGATACAAAATGACATTTTGAGCTGAAGTTACTACTTGGTGTCATTCTTATATATTTTCATGGAGAAAGAGATTTCCAATTTGGAAACCAGAAGTCTAGTATTTTCTTTTCTTTCTTTCTTTTTCTTCTTCTTCTTCTTTTTTTTTTTTTTTTTTGTGAGAAAGAGTCTTGCTTTGTCATCTAGGTTGGAGTGGAATGGTGCAATCTCGGCTCACTGCAACCTCTACCTCCTGGGTTCAAGCGATTCTCCTGCCTCAGCCTCCTGAGTAGCTGGGACTACAAGCGTGAACCACAGTCATGTGCCACCACGCCTGACTAATTTTTGTATTTTTAATGGAAGTGGTGTTTCACCATGTTGGCCAGGCTGGTCTCGAACCACTGACCTCAGGTAATCCACCCACCTTGGCCTCCCAGAATGCTAGGATTACAGGCATGAGCCAGTGCACCCGGCCATTTTGTAAATAAGCAATTAAAAAAAATTTCTGTAGAACTTAAGACTCAGTTTTGATTCCTGCAAATTAGGGTAGACTATTTCTGTCTTACTGATCACTGTTCTTCTATTTCCTCAGGGCCTGGCATACTGTAGGCACTCAGTAAAAGTATGTTGAATGAGTTTATACATTTTTTATATAGTGGAGGTTTGTATTTTGTGATTGTTTTCTGTAGATGTGTTGTATCTGTCATTTTTTACTAAAGCATGGTCTATTAAGGCCTATATCTAGCCAGTGTGCCTCAGTATGTAAGTATGAGATGTTTACAGCTTGAGCTCATCTTGATAGGTTTCATATGTGTTCTGATTGCTTGGTGCCTGCACTGTGCCAGTTGTTAAATGTTTGAATAATGCCTCTCCAGTGTCATTATTATATCATGCAGAATTGTTTTTGACTCAGTGAGTAATTTGTCAGAAATAGGTTACCTGAGAAATTCCAAACTTTTGTATCCATACTGTTTGTATTTATGATTATTTCATAAGCTCTACAGCTCACATCAGTGGTGTTTTGTGCATTTGCTTTTTTTTTTTTTTTTTTTTTTTTTTTGAGACAGGGTCTTGCTCTGTCACCCAGGCTGGAGTGTAGTGACACAATCTTGGGTTGCTGCAACCTCTGCCTCTCAGACTCAAGCCATCCTCCCACCTCAGCCTCCAAGCAGCTGGGACTACAGCCACATGCCACCACACCCAGCTAATTTTTTATTTTTGGTAGAGATGGGGTCTCGCCATGTTGGTTTAAGACCCCAGGCTGGTCTTGAACTCTCTGAGCGAAACTGATCTGCTCTCTCAGATTCTCAGAGTGCTGGGATGTGTCACCATGCCTGGCTGCATTTGCCTCTTTTTAAATTGTTTATTAAAATAAGTAATATATGTTCATATCACAAAATTCAAATTGTTCAAAAATGTATGTACTAAAATATTTTTCTTTGCCTTCTATGCAATACAACTTTTCTTTTCCAGAGGCAATCAATAGTTAGTTTATTCTTAGACATATTTAGCACATACATAGGTCTATGTGTAAATGTTTTACACCCAAATTGTAGCCTTCTGTTCACAGTTCTCTCCACCTTGATTTTCTCAAAGTATGTTAGCGATCTTTTCATATCACATAGAGTGGCCTCATTATTTTCAGTTTGTACATCATATTCCATTGTATAGTTAGATACAACTGTATTAACTTTTATCTTGTAATTTTAAAAAATTCAATACAATGAAGGTCTTGTATCTAACATCGTTATCTAAATGTATCTTTAATATAAATTTCTAGTTGTTTGATTGCTGTTTCAAAAATAAAAAAATTTGATAGATATCACCAAATTGCTGTTTATTGTTTTTCTTTTTTTTTGAGACAGGGTCTCACTCTGTCAACCAGTCTGCAGTGCAGTAGTGTGATCTTGGCTCACTGCAACCTCTGCCTCCCTGGTTCAAGTTGTTCTCGTGCCTCAGCGCCCCAAGTAGATGGTACTATAGGCGTGCGCCACCATACCTGGCTAATTTTTCTATTTTTAGTAGCAACTGGGTTTCACTGTGTTGCCCAGGCTGGTCTTGAACTTCTGCGCTCAAGAGATCCCTCGGTCTCCCAAAGTGCTGGGATTATAGGTGTGTGCCGTCGTACCCAGCCCTAATTGCTCTAAGTCATATTGTACCTGTTTCCTCAACAACAGTAATGTATGACAGTACCTGTTTCCTCAACAATAGTAATGTATGACAGTACCTGTTTCCTCATGTTCTTGCACATAGTATGTATTATTTTTATATTTTGTTAGAAATTTGGAATTTGTTAATCAAGTGTATAAAAATGTTATATTAGTGTAGTTTTAATATTAATTCATTTTGTAAGCAAAGTTGAATTTCATGTTTTAGTGCCACTTGTAGTTCCCTTTTTGTTCATTGCCTTTGCCTAGTTCCCACAAGCAGATAAATTTCCTTAAAAAAATTTTTTTTCAGGAAGTTATTTGTACTTATGTAATGATATGAGTTGCAGATGATTTTTCTAAGTGTATAATTTACTGTTTGATTTTTTTTTTTGCTTATAGAGTTTCTACTTATTATATAGTTAAATGTGTCAATATGAACTTCAGAAGTCTGTAAAACTCTTAGTTAGAAAAGCTTTTACCATTTGAAGTTACAAAATAATTTTTGCATCATTTCATTCAGTGCTTTTATTTAATTAGTTTTTATTTTTAGAGACACGTCTTGCTCTGTCATTCAAGCTAAAGTGCAGTGGTGTAATCATAGCTCACTGTAGTCTTGAAGTCCTGGACTTATATAACTCTCCTGCCTTGGCCTCCCAGAAGTACTGGGATTACAGGCATGAGCCACCACGCCTGGCCCATTTAGTGCTTTTATGACTTTTATTTTAGACTCATTTTATGACTTCAGTTTTACATTTAAATCTTAAGCTCATTTGGAATTTTTTTTTATGGTATGACAGATTGATTGATTTTTTTCCCCAGATATTTGAATATAGCTATCCGCAAACTTTTTTTTTAAGACATGGTCTGGCACTGCTGCCCAGGCTAGAGTGCAGTGGTGTGAGCATAGCTCACTGTAGCCTTGGACTCCTGGGCTCAAGCGATCTTCCCACCTCAGCCTCCAGAGTACTAGGGCTACAGGTACTCACCACCATGCCTCGGTCATTTTTTTTTTTTTTTGAATGTAGAGACAGAGTCTGGCTGTGTTGCCAGACTGGTCTCAAATTCCTGATCTCAAGTGATCCTCCTGCCTTAGTCTCCCAAAGCTTTGGGATTATAGGTGTGAACCACCATGCTCAGCCACCAACCTTTTGATTAAATGATCTTTGTTATATTTAGATGTCACTTTTATCATATAACAATGTACAAATATAAATATGTAATTATAAAATTTATAATAATCACCAGCCAGGCATTGTTAGATGCACCTTATTTATATAAATGCCTTTTTTTTTTAACCTTTTTATGGTAAGATCTTTAGATTGGTTAATGGTATTATAAATGTTAATTTCCTGGTTTAAATGGTTGTACTATGAGTATGTAATATATATACATTGGGGAAGCTAGATAAAGAGTATAAAGGAGTTTTGTACCTTTTTGAATGTTTGAAATTATTTCAAAATGAAAAGTTACAAAACAAGGAAATAATACAACCAAAACAGTTATATTAAAGTTCTTATTTGAATTATGTATTTTTAAAATCTACAAACATGATATTTATGGCCAATATAATTTAATTCAACCAGTTTAAGAATGGAATATTTCATATTATGATAGATAGCTTATAATGTTTATCCAGGAAGACTAGGGAATCAAGCACATATACTTTATAGTCAGGGCCATGTAACTAGGAGAATTGACTCTATCACAAAGAGAGACTTTTTTAGCAAGATCCCAACTATCATCTCATAATACTGCCTGGTAGTGATGATACAAAGCATTGTATCCTGAAATCTCTGCCACAGCTTTCCTAGAAAGATGAACTGTCCTTATCGCTGTGCTTGCCGGGAGTTCTTTTCTCTCTGCATGCAGATAATGGTCCTCACATTGTTCATTTCTGCTTTTTTCAGTCTCATGTCTGTGTATATTTTTGTCAGAACCTGGGATACATGTTGATCCTGCAGAAAGGAATTTTAATTTATTTCCTAGTTTTGAACCTTCCTTGCTTTCCTGGACTAAACTCTACTTGGTTATGTCTGTTATTCTTTTATAAGCCATTGGATTTGCTTTTTAAAGTTCACTTTCTTCTTCTTGCATACCTTTTGGGCATGCTGTTTAGAAATGCATAATGCATAATGAAAAACCAAGAAGTATTCAGAAAGAAAGAGTAGGTGAATCATGTGTGTAACTATTTCTGACTCAGATCTTTTAAAAATCTAGTTAAGATAGCATATTGTATACCTTAAATGTAGGTATTTTTAAAAAAATCTAATTTTAAAAATGTATTTAAAAATCTAGTTTAATGAAATACCTCTAAAAGGTAATTCTAAAAGTATTTTAATTCCTTTAAATAATTAGGATTTATTTAAAATTTACAAACCTTCCTTCTGTGTGGGGAGGCCCTGGGTGAGATGACAAGGTTGGTATAGGTAGTTTTCTAGCAGTAATATCAGTGGAATACATTTTCTTGATTACTGACTTTGGATGTGCGACTAATTATATGTAAGTCATACTGATTATTGACAGAAAAGAAGAGAGGTAAATGAATAGGTATAATAAACTAAAAATTTGACTACTGTAAACTCCAATGTGTGACCACTCTGAGCCTTCTTCATCTTTTCGATTTTGCTATGAACTCATAACTTGTTGAGGTAACAAAGGAGTTTTAGGTTATTCTGTGTAGTTTGCAGATTTGCTAATTCATAAAGGAAATACTGAATGAGAAGCAATTTTAGAGCTGATTTAGATCTTTATTGGTAACAGGTTAGTAGATAGCAATTTACCTAAGACATCCTATATTTGTTTTTGTTGAAAAATATTTTAATTTTTATGTTATTTTAATTGACTTTGCTGTCTAAATTTGGACATTACTTCAGAAGTTTTTGTGCTGTGTTTTTTTTTTTTTAAATGAAACTTGTTTTACATGCTATGGTGATTTTGAGGATACTAATGCTTTTAATGTGTGTGTGTGTGTGTGTGTGTGTGTGTCTGTTTTTCTCTTGGAAGCTGGTAGGAGGACAGTTTGATTTGGAAATGAATTTCATTATCCAAGAAGGTGAGAGTATCAACTGTATGGTGGACCTACTGGAAAAATGTGACATTACTTGCCAAGCAGAAGTCTGGAGCATGTTTACAGCCATTCTGAAGAAAAGCATACGAAATCTTCAAGTCTGCACTGAAGTAGGACTTGTTGAAAAAGTGCTTGGGAAAATTGAAAAAGTTGACAATATGATAGCAGGTATGTTTTTTTTCTGTAGTACAGTATATGTGAAGAAATAAAGTTTGATTTTTAAATATGTATTTTTCTTATTCCATTTGGCAATATTTAAGAAATACTTGAGCCTGTAGCATGCACTTAGAACTTTAGTGTCCAAGCCCTTAAATAATTACAGTTTATTTTAAATATTTGAGAAGTATAACTAGCTGAGTTATTTTATTGTTTTCTTTTGTTTCTAGATCTTTTAGTTGACATGTTGGGAGTGTTGGCTAGCTACAGTTTGACAGTTCGAGAGCTAAAGCTTTTCTTCAGTAAACTTCAAGGAGATAAAGGACAATGGGTAAAAAAACTTAAGTACTGTTTGGTATTTTAAAGCATCCCCCTCCCAAACACATTAATATCTTGTAAGTAACTGATATTATTATACATGGCATAATTGTCAAATTGAATAGATTAATTAAAATAGCATTGAGATCCCTATGACTACTCTTGCCCTGCTTGGACTCTAAGAGTATTTTCTAAGATAATAGTGTTTCAGGCAAACTGATAATTTAATTCTTCAAATTGTTGTTCTTTAAATGTACATTCGATATTTATTTTTAAAAATGTAGAGAAAAAAAGTATTACGTAATAGTACCTAGGTTTCTTCCTTTTGATCTAGTTTTAGCTGAGTCCCCTAAACTTGAGTAACTCACTCCGTGAAGAAAACTTTTGTTTTTAATTGAATCTACCCTCTTTAGATGCAACTTAAGAGTCATTTGCAATGGGTAGTGATAGGGGTGAACTATTTTGAACCCCAGGTGCCTTATCAAACTCTTTTTTCCACCATATAGTTATTTGTCCCATTGAGGAGGAGTAGTAAATATTTTCTCCTTTTTTGTTGCATTTTCAGGCTTATTTTAGTGCCCTTTAGAAATCATTGAACCACAGCAACAGCTCAGCCAGCTGATCCTTAATCTAGCTTTGATTAAATATATCTAAATTTGTGCTCTGCAGTTACTCTTATTCATTGTATTAAAATTTAGATTCCTTAGCATATGTCTCTCAAACTCCAGTTTGCTGGCTGTTTAATTTTAGAGTTTTATTATTGATTTTCATTGAATTTGATTATATTTCTGGTTCTAGCTTACCTTGTATTTATCTTCTTAGAGTTTTTGCATCTGTGGGTTTATAAGATAGTTGTCATAAAATTTGGAAACATTTTAGTAATTGCTTCTTCAAATAATTGTCTTCTTGTCTCCACTTCCTATCTTTTCTGGGACTCCAATTATAGATACATTAGACCTCTTGATATTGTCTCACAGGTTACTGAGCTCTGTTAACTATTTTTTTTAGTCATTTGTGCTTTATTTTAGATTGTTTTTATAGCTATAGTCTCAAGTTAACTGATACTTCCTTCAGCAGTGTGTTAATTCCATCCACTGAAATTTCAGATAGCATATTTTTCTTTCTGTAAATTCTATTTTGTTCTTTTTCTTTTTCTTTTTTTTTTTTTTGCTGAAGGATTTTAAGACAGAGTCTCACTCTGTCGCCTAGGCTGGAGTGCTAAAGTACAGTGGTGCAATCTTGGCTCACTGCAACCTCCACCTCTTGGGTTCAAGCGATTTTCCTGCCTCAGCCTCCTGAGTAGCTCGGATTACAGGCATGTGCCACCACGCCTGGCTAATTTTTGTATTTTTAGTAGAGACGGGATTTTACCATGTTGGTCAGGCTGGTCTTGAACTTCTGACCTTGTGATCTGCCCGCCTCAACCTCCCAAAGTGCTGGGATAACAGGCTTGAGCCACCGCGACTGCCTGTTCTTTTAAATATTTTCCATTTCCCCTCATTTAATTCCTTTAAATCCTTGATAGTATTTAGCATATTAGTAGTTGCTTTAATGCTCTTGTTTTTTCATTCTAGATTGTCATTTTCTACATCAGTTTTTTAGTGATTTTGCTCCTGTATGTTTTTCTGCTGCTTATGGCTATTGAATTTAGGCAATATATCAGACATAACAAATTGTATATTGTTGAATGTTGGATTTTGTCATATTCCTTTTGAGATTGTTAGACTGGTTTTGCAGGCAATTAAGTTATTTGTGGATCAACTTTACCTTTTAAAACCAGTTTTAAGTTTATTTTTCAGTCAGGTTTAGAGTGGCTGTAACGCTAGGGCTAGTTTAGCCTACGATTATTCAGGCATGTCTCTTACAGAGTCTGTTGAATAACTCTTAAGTCTCAGACATAGGTTAGGAGGTAATAAAAGACTATGGTTTCTCCACAGTGTCTAGTAGGGTCTCAACAATTCCTAGCTCTGTATTAGTTTTGGGAATTCTTTAACTTAAACCTGTTACTCTCTTAGCCCCACCATGTTGAGTTGCATTTCCTTTAGAGACTGGGTTTTGCCATGTTATCCAGGCTGGTCTCAAACTCCTGAGTTCAAGCAGTCCTCACAAAGTGCTAGGATTACAGGCATGAGCTACCACAGTTTTGAAGGAATAATCCACATATAAAAGATTAAACATGTTAATATAGTTACTTATGGGTAGGGGGAGGAGAATGAGAATAGGTTTAGATGATTTAAGTGAAAAAATAATGAACTATTTATAAAATCAGAGCAAGGCCTTGCTCAGATATTTGTTACATTTATTTAGTTATTTAATATTAGGTGTATTATTTCTATCTTTTGCTGTCATAGCAGTGCAGTGAAAAATCCCTGTATCTAAATCTCCGTCTACCCTTGTGATGATTACTTGAGCATAGATTTTTACGTGTGGAAATAGTGTATCAGTGGACATGAACGTTTTTATAGACTCTTGAAATATGACTATTACATCTTTTCTTTTCTTTTTCTATTTCTTTTCCTTTTTCTTTTTCAGATGGAGTCTTGCTCTGTTGTCCAGGTTGGAGTGCAGTGGTGCGATCTTGGCTCCTTGCTACCTCTACCTCCTGGCTCAAGCGATTCTCCCACCTCAGCCTTCCAAGTAGCTGGGACCACAGGCAGTTGCCACCATTCTTGGCTAATTTTTGTATTTTTTTTACAGAGATGAAGTTCTGCTCTGTTACTGAGCTGGTCTCAGCCCCCTAGGCTCAAGTGATCCCTCCCCTTGGCCTCCCAAAGTGTTGAGATTACAGATGTGAGCCACTGTGCCTGGCCTACTAATTTTTTTTCTGAAAGGCTGTCCCAAGTACAGTATCTACTCCCCCAGCAATGTCTGTCAAGTAAAGTGCTTATCTCAATGTATTCTTTTGTTGACTGGTTTATAGGAAAATAAATTTGGAGGAATGATGTTTCTAGATGGACATGCTATAATACTGTATGTTTATTTTTGACTGCGAAGTTATTTTTGGTTTCTTTATTTCACTTTGGAATTTATTTAAAAAAATCACTGTGATTGTAGTTACTTGTTATTATGTTTTTATAATTGAGCAGTATGGTTAACTGAAAATTTCTTATTCACTTAAGAATGAAGCTTTCCACTTAATATTTAGGTGAAAGGTTGCCAAACTATTTTACACAGTTAGTAATTATAATATATATCATCTCTGAAAATAAGATGAAGGCAAACTAGTGATTTCATTTGTAGTTTGACCCTATTTTGAACTTTTAAACTTTTAGCAGTTTAAAAGTTTAAAATGCCCTACACTTTTCTTAGTTGCTTAAAACTGATTAAAATGAGATGATATGTCTGATTATCTTTTGTTTTTCCTTGTAACTGCAAATGAGATTTTTGTTGTTGGTTGTTTCATGTATTAGAGACTTGTGGGTCAAAGAAACATTCATCAAATAAGCTCAGTGTTGTAGCTTTTATATGTATATGCTATACATATAGATATATTTATATGTTATGCAGTAAAGGTATATTATAGGATGAAATATGATAGGGGATTTTAATCCACTCTCAGTTTCAAGGAGGACTACCCTGAGGAAGTGACTGTTAAGATAAGCTCTAAAGGCTGGGTAAGATTGACTTGGTTAAGAGGTGTATAGAGAAGCCCTTTTGAGAAAATTTTAAGCATAAGGAATAGTTTGTGCTGAGGCCCTCTTGTGGGAAGAACACTGAGAAAAGGATAGATTGCAGACAGAAGGGGAGAGTAAGAAGCAAAAGAAGGCTAAAGAAGATAAGTGTCTTATAGTCCACATTAAAGGTTTTGGTCCCTATTTTATTTTATTTTATTTTATTTTTATTTATTTATTTATTTATTTTTTGAGACGGAGTTTCGCTCTTGTTACCCAGGCTGGAGTGCAATGGCGCGATCTCGGCTCACCGCAACCTCCGCCTCCTGGGTTCAGGCAATTCTCCTGCCTCAGCCTCCTGAGTAGCTGGGATTACAGGCACGTGCCACCATGCCCAGCTAATTTTTTGTATTTTTAGTAGAGACGGGGTTTCACCATGTTGACCAGGATGGTCTCGATCTCTTGACCTCGTGATCCACCCGCCTCGGCCTCCCAAAGTGCTGGGATTACAGGCTTGAGCCACCGCGCCCGGCCTTGGTCCCTATTTTAATGGTGAAAGTATAGTTTTTTTTTTTTTTTTGACTTTATGGTGGTGTGAAAGTGATATGCATTCAGTACACTTCTTGACTTAGGATGGGGCTACCTCCGGCTAAACCCATCTTAAGTTGACAATATTTTGGGTTGAAAACATGCTTTCAACTTACATTATTTTCAACTTACTCTAGATTTGTCAGAATGTAACTCTATCATAAGTTGAGGAGCATCTGTATAGTTGTTTTTTTTTTTTTTTATTTTGAGATCGCATCTCGCTCTGTCTCCCAGGTTGGAGTACAGTGGCGTGATCTCTGCTCCCTGCAACCTCTGTCACCTGGGTTTAAGCAATTCTCCTGCATCAGCCTCCTGAGTAGTTGGGATTACAGGTGCGTGCCACCACGCCCGGCTAATTTTTGAATTTTTAGTAGAGACGGGGTTTTATTATGTTGGTCAGCTGGTCTCGAACTCCTGACCTCCAGTATACACTGACCTCATGATCCACCTGCCTCGGCCTCCCAAAGTGCTGGGATTACAGACGTGAACCACTGTGCCTGGCCTGTATAGTTGTTTAAAAGCATGGACTCTGGACTCAGATTGAGTTCTGATCGTGACCTTGACAACTATTACCTATGTGACTTTGGGAATGTTCCTCTGCCTCAGATTCTTCTTATATAAACTGGGGATAGTAATAATACCATCCCATAGGAAGGTTATGAGTATAAAATATTTTAATATTTTAAAGTACCATTTTTTTGAAATGTTTATTTTTTATTTTTCCATAAGCTATTGGAGTACAGGTGGTATTCGGTTACATGATTAAGTTCTTTAGTGGTGATTTGTGAGATTTTGGTGCACCCATCACCTGAGCAGTATACATACACTACCCCATATTTGTAGTCTTTTATCCTGTGCTCTCCCTCCCATTCTTCCCTTCAAGTCCTCAAAGTCCATTGTATCATTCTTATTATTTTGTGTCCTCATAGCTTAGCTCCCACATATCAGTGAGAACATGCAATGTTTGGTTTTCTATTCCTGAATTTCTGTTTCTATTCACTTAGAATAGTAGTCTCCAGTCTCATCCAGGTCACTGCAAATGGCTGTTAATACATTTATTTTTATGGCAGAATAGTATTCCATCATAAATATATGATACACATCACAGTTTCTTTATCCACCCGTTGATTGATAGACATTTGTGTTGGTTCCACGATTTTGCAATTGTGAATTATGCTGCTATAACCATGCATGTTCAAGTATTTTTGAAGTACCTTTAACAGTGTAATATCATAAGCATTATTTAAGTATTTGCTAAATTTTTAAGTGTTTTAATTTTAAAGAAGGGTGGGTGGTGGGTTGATGTTTGTTTTTAAAAGATCGGGTGCAGTGGCTCATGCCTGTAATCTCAGTACTTTGGGAGGCCGAGGCAGGCGGATCACTTAAAATCAGGAGTTCAAGACCAGCCTGGCCAATGTGGTGAAACCCTGTCTCTACTAAAAATACAAAAAAATAAGCTGGGTGTGCTGTCACACCTGTAATACCAAATACTTGGGAGGCTGAGGCAAGAGAATCACTTGAACCTGGGAGGTGGTGGTTGCAGTGAGCTGAGATCGTGCCACTGCACTTGGACTCCAGCCTGGAGACTCCATCTCAAAAAAAAAAAGAAAAAAATCATTTTTGCTGCTGCAGCATGGAGAAGAGGAGTTTCAGGTGTCTAATGATATTGCCTTATATTTATTGAATACCTAATATGCCCTACAGCATTACAAAAACAGGCATAGAGTACATTTTTTCTTTAAGATATTTGAAAATAACATAAAAATTATTTTATATGCTTTTAAGCTTATAGAATTATTCTTGTATATATTAAAGCAAGACTATATTAAAAATGTGTTTTTCTTTTTGTCTTCTGGTGAATAATAAGGTTAGTGAATTGTTTATTATCTTTATAGCCTCCACATGCTGGGAAGTTGCTGTCTATGTTAAAGCACATGCCTCAGAAGTATGGCCCTGATGCCTTTTTCAACTTTCCAGGAAAGAGTGCTGCAGTAAGTAATATTAATGAGGAAGTCACTCCCAGTTCTTTTCTTTGCTCCTTGAAAGTACAGCCCTATGAACACCCCTGACAGGTTCTGTGCTAGGTAGAAACTTCTGCTCAACATACTTTAATCCTTATGACAGTTGTGCATGTTACCTTTTGTAATTGCTTTAGAGGTGAAAAAACAGAGGCTTAACTTAGTTGAGAAAATGCCCAGTCACAGCTTGGTCAGCAATGGAATAAGAACCTCATTCTTTTAAACACAGCCATGTTTTCCTAAGTAGCTATTTGTGTGTAAAACCTTCATGTCAATCTTTGTGAACATGCTTCTTCTCACCTTTCTTTACTCTACCTCTGGTTTTTGTGTATCTGGTGTATAGAATGATAGTGAAGAAATAGAGGCTCTGAAACTTACTATGCAAGTTTTCTTTGACTTGTGAGTTTCCAAATTATGTTGGTCTCTGCGTTCTTGTAAGCTGTTAATCAGTTTATAGATAAGACAATTATGTATAATAGTGATATCTGTAATGTTTCATAATATAGAAGCACATTATATAATATATATGTTATAGATGGAAGTTTAAAAAATCTCCTCATTATTACATTGGTCAGCCTGTTATAAGCAAAACAAACTTTTTAAAAAGGTATTTTAGTCTGTTCTTTTCCTGAGCTTATCTTTCATTCTTTTTTTTTTTTTTATTTTTTTTTCTTAAAAAAAAAAAAGAGACGGGGTTTCACCATGGTCTCGATCTCTTGACAGCATGATCTGCCCACCTCAGCCTCCCAAAGTGCTGGGATTACAGGCGTGAGCCACCGTACCTGGCCTTTGGAGTGCATTGGTGCAAACTGGGCGCACTGCAACCTCCACTTGCTGGGTTCAAGCAGTTCTCCTGCCTTAGCCTCTTAAGTAGCTGGGACTACACTTGTGCACCACCATGCCCGGCTAATTTTTGTATTTTTAATAGAGACAGGGTTTCACCATGCTGGCCAGGCTGATCTCGAACTCCTGTCCTCATGATTCCCCTGCCTTGGCCTCCCAGAGTTCTGGGATTACAGGCATGAGCCACCATCATTCATTTTTTTACTTTAGTTCTCATAAAATCTTACCTTAGGCACTTTGTAGCCTGGCAATATCTGCAGAAAGATAAGAATATGTTTTAATATGACCTTTGTAATATTTGAATGTTATATACACAATACACAACTTTTTTTGAAAAGTTTTATTGCCCAGTTTTTTCCTTTACAGTTTTTCCTTATAAGTCATTTTAGATTTGTAGCTTTTCAGAATAATTTTACTTTCTTGTCATACAGCCTATCATTGCCTCTAACATAAAAAAGTATTCTTATGAGATTACCTTTTTTCATGCCTCATGTTATAATTTTATTATTTACAGTTCTCTGAGCTTGCAGTGTGTGCAAGCTTTTAAGATAAGATTTATCTTAAAAGTAGGCAGTTGAGCTGAACAGCTTTTGAAACTTGAATAGATGTTTTAAATTTGTTCAATGACTTCCTTTCATTAAACAAAGCTTTTAATGAGAATTTAAAGTATTCATGGATAAAGTATTTTTACAAAGCTTTTACATCTTTGATATCATTTTTAGTGAAAGAGAACATGTGTATACACTGAATATATATTTTTTCTAAAATTTTTTTATCAGTCCGTGAGCTATAATTATTATTTTCCTTTTTTCTCAATGCAACAGTCATTTTAAATCAGCCTCTTCAATTCTCAATAGTGTTATTACTGAAGTTTGGCTCTATGATGTCTTTCATGTTTTATGTAATATCTAATACATAGAATATATATATTATATGTATACATAATTGCATATGTAAGTCAAAATAGAAGCTTGTATAGTTTGAATTTTTTAAAAAATAGCTTTACTGAGATAAATTCACATACTATACAATTAGCTCATTGAAAGTATATAGTGTAGTTGGTAAATGTGTTCATATATTTGTCAACCATCACCACATCAATATTGGGACATTTTCATCACACCCAAAGGAAACCCCTTACTGATTAGCAGTCACTCCATATATTCTCCATCCCTATTCTAGACCATTCATATTAGTGAAATCATACAACATGTAGTGTTTTGTGACTGGCTTTTTTCACTTATCATGATGTTTTCAAGATCTATCCATGGTGTAGCATGTATCAGTACTTCATTCCTTTTTATGGCTAATATTATATTGTATGGATATACCATACTTTATTTAATCGTTTGTCAACTAATGGATATTTGGGATTTTCACTTTTTGGGCTATTATCAATAATATTGCTATGGACATTTGTGTATGTGTGGACATATATTTTAATTTGTCTTGGGTATGTACCTAGGATTGGAATTTCTGGGTCATATAGTCTTTGTTTAACATTTTGAGGAACTTTTAGACCATTTTCCAAAGTAGCTATGTTATTTTATGATCCCACCAGCAATGTATAAGGGTCAAATTTCTCCACATCCTTGCCAATATGGTTAATATCTTTTTTTTTCTTTTTTTTTTTTGAGACAGTCTTGCTCTGTCACCCAAGCTGGAATGTAGTGGCGTGATCTCGGCTCACTGCAAACTCCGCCTCCCTGATTCAAGTGATTCTTGTGCCTCAGCATTCTGAGTAGCTGGGATTACAGGTGCGCATCACCATGCCTGGCTAATTTTTGTGCTTTTTGCTAGAAACGGGGTTTCACCACGTTGGCCAGACAGGTCTTGAACTCCTGACCTCGAGTGATCCACCTTCCTCAGCCTCCCAAAGTGCTGGGACTATAGGCTGTCTTTTTATTGTATTAGTAGCCATCCTAGTTGGTATGAAGGGGTATCTCATCGTAGTTTTGATTTACATTTCTTTTTTGACTAATGACACTGAGCATCTTTTAATGTTTTTATTGGCTGTTTGTATATCTTCTTTGGAGATATGTATGTGTAGATCTTTTGCCCATTTTAAAATTGTCTTTTTATTATTGAGTTGTAAGATTATATATTTTGGTTACAAGTCCTTTATCAGATATTCAGTTTGCAAATGTTTACTCCCATTTTTGTGGCTTGTCTTTTCACTTTTTTAATGGTGTTCCTTAAAGCACAGGTTTTAATTTTAATAAAGTCCAGTGTATATATTTTTTCTTTTGTCACTTGTGCTTTTGGTGGCATAATTAAAAAGGATTTGCCTAACCAGAGCACACTAAGGCCTTATGCTAATACCACAGTCTTCATCACTGTTGCTTTATATTAATGGCAGGTTTTGAATTTGGTAATATGAGTCCTCAAATTTGTTCTACTTTTCTTCTTTTTCTTTTTTTTTTATTTTTTCATTTTTCTGAGCAGAGTTTGGTTCTTGTTGCCCAGGCTGGAGTGCAATGGCACTGTTTTGGGTTGAAGCAATTCTTCTGCCTCAGCCTCCCGGGTAGTTGGGATTATAGGCACCCACCACCATGCTGGGCTAATTTTTGTAATTATTTTAGTAGAGACAAGGTTTTACCATGTTAGCCAGACTGATCTCAAACTCCTGTCCTTAGGTCATCTGCCCACCTCAGCCTCTCAAAATATTGGGATTATAGGCTTGAGCCACTGCACCTAGCCTGTTCTTCTTTTTAAAGATTGTTTTGGCTATATAAAATCCTTCTCTTATGTAGTATGATCTTTTAAATAAAAATTTAAACCAAGTGGTAAAGCCATTTGTATAGTGACTTCTGAATATAATTTAAAAATATTATGAACTAATACTCTTCAGTTTCATATTTGAGTTTTATAAAAGCAGCATATACCAAGCTTTTTCTCTTTTCTCTTTCCATTCTTGTCCATCTTTCTCTATTCTAGTACCTGAAAATTTCATTGAATTTCTAATTTGATATCACTACCTATCTCTTTTAATTAGAATCTCTGTGGATATGTTTATTTTAAGAAATGAAGGAGACAAGATTCATGTATCCAGCGGGTTACACTGAATGTTTCGTTCATTTAATTAACATTACTATATATTTGGGAAAATTAAAAAGTTATTAAAATTCTTCTTCCAGATGACGTCTTCTTTCAGATATTTTAATTGTGACATAAAGTAATGTGATGTAGTATAAATACATATAGCATTGTAAAGTCTTATTTTCAGGATTTCAATAATATGGTTTTTCATGTGAGTTAATAACTCAAAGTTTTTTTCCCTTAGGCTATTGCATTACCTCCTATAGCCAAATGGCCGTACCAGAATGGTTTTACATTTCATACATGGTTTAGAATGGATCCTGTAAATAACATCAATGTAGATAAGGATAAACCATATTTGTATTGGTATGTATTTATATAACTGATTAGTGTTAAAACCTGACTTTGAAACTGAGAAGAATGTTTAGAAGTAAAATGAAAACCTATTTTTTGTAGTTTCAGAACCAGCAAAGGTCTTGGCTATTCTGCTCATTTTGTTGGAGGCTGTTTGATTATAACATCAATAAAGTCAAAAGGAAAAGGCTTTCAACACTGTGTGAAATTTGATTTTAAGCCGCAAAAGGTACATGATTTTTGAGTCATAGTTAACGTTAATAAGCTATGCTAGTCATCAAAATGCTTTGTTTTAGTGTTACTCCCATAGCATGCTAAAGCATAATTCCAGTTTTACTGTTTGAAAAGATGAAGTGTAAATCACTGGATGATTGACCTCTCTGATTTGGATGTGAAAAAGATTGCAAATTTAGTTATTTATGGAGATTAGGGAGATATAAGAAAATATCTATGGCATTTTTCTTACTGGTGCACATTTAATATGTGTTTGCTTTTGTACATTAAAATTTAGAGGTACAAAAGAATTTATATTAAAAATTTTTGTACCTAAAAGTTTAGTGGTACAAAACCATTAATAAATGGTTCATCAACAAAATGTATAGGTAGATAGGTAGTCAGATAGATTAAGCAAATATGGCAAAAAATTGACAATTGTGGAATCTAGGCGGTGGGAAAAAGGAGTATTTGTACTGGATTTTCAGATTTTGGGGGTATATATGAAATTTTTCATAATAAAAAGCTGGAAAAATAATCTAGTAGTTAAGTTCTTATCAGTTGAAAGGCCCCATGAATAGATACTCTTCCAGAAGGTAAATATTGAATTTAGCAGAGGTACTCTTGTTTTATTTTTAGGTTGAAATACAACTTATTTAACTTCTACTTATCGATATGTTTGCATTATTGGGAGAATTGTTATCTTTGTATTATTTATTGTTTTTTGCCTCTTCAGTGGTACATGGTTACCATAGTGCACATCTATAACCGATGGAAGAACAGTGAACTTCGATGTTATGTGAATGGTGAACTAGCATCCTATGGAGAGATAACATGGTTTGTCAACACTAGTGATGTAAGTCGTTTCAAAATGTTGCAATGAAAATAATTGTTTTAAAAACATGAGTTTGTTAAATAAGAAAAAGTTTTATAATTTGAATATAAAATTCTAAATATTACAATGGTAGATTTTTATAAGCATAATTTGGCTAGCATGTTAATTTGTTAGTAGAACTTAATGTGTCACTAAAATATTATTGAGTTCTTGTTATAAAATTATTCCATATAGGTAAAAATAAGGATTTATAACTAACAGTGGCTATATCTGGGCGGTGGGTCATTGGTTCATTTATCAAAATGAATGGGAGCTTCACTACAAGGAGCTGTAGTGATCATTTTTATGAATGAGTTAAATGAAGCATACTTATAAATCTTGCATATAATTCTGACTGCTATAGATAACCATTATGTTATAATCTTTACAGGGTTCAAAAATAAATCTATAGGTTAGAATGAAATTTAAATTATGTCTAATTATGTCCTTTTTATAAAAGCTTGAAAAAAGTACAGACCAGGAAAATGAACATAAAGTATATTACCCATACACCTTTAACTCCTCTTTTCATATCCTTTGCTACACATATATACATATTGTGCAATGCTAACCTTATGAGATCAGGGTGTTGAATCAGACAAACTTAGGTTTGAATCTCAGCTCTGTCATTTATTGACTGTATGACTTTACCTAATCTATTAGGCCTTAGTATTTTTCCTCCTGAAAATGGACATAAAATAACTCATACTTCAGAAAGTTGTCATCTGATTAAATGAGGTAATATCCATAAATCTATTAGTAGAGTACCTTATATAGAATGAGTGCTCAATAAATGTTAGTTCTTTTTTTAATACAAAAAAGCACTCATATGTAAGTACTGTTTTGTAACCTGTTTTTTCTTACATTAAATTTTATTGAGTGTTTTTTTTTTTTATTCCAGGCATTATAATAAATAGATTTATTTTTAAAAAGCCCCAGCAACCTTGCAAGATAAGCATTATTATAATCTTCATTTTACAGATAAGGTGAAGCACAAAGAAGTAACTTGCCATGCTCAGTGGCATAGGAAGCAGGGATTTGATCTAGGTGGTTTGGCTTGAGAACACACATATTTAAAACTTTTCTATATCCCCTAATGTCATTACATACACATTTTTCAAAATTCTTTTTAATGGTCTCATGGTATAAATTATTTTAGTCCACTTAGATGCAGTTTAGAATGGACAAAACATTTATGACAATATAGGTTTTTATTATTTCTGGAGTATGTTTTTTTGTTTTCTACTAAAATTTTTTTTTCTCTTACAGACCTTTGACAAATGTTTCCTGGGCTCGTCAGAAACAGCAGATGCTAATAGAGTATTCTGTGGTCAGATGACTGCAGTTTATCTTTTTAGTGAAGCTCTTAATGCAGCTCAGATTTTTGCTATTTATCAGTTGGGCCTGGGATACAAGGTACTTTACGTACTGTTCTGTGCTTAACCAATGTTAGTTCAGCTTGATTTGAAGGTGGTTTATACATAGAGAGTTTGGTTAATGGATACCAAAAAAAAAAAAGAAAAAAGAAATAATGAGATCTATTTGATACTACAGCAGGCTGACTATAGTCAATAACTGTACATTTTAAAATAAATGGTGTAATTGGATTGTTTTCAACTAAATAGATAAATGCTTGAAGGGATGGATATCCATTCTGCATTATATGCTTATTTCATGTTGCATGACTGTATTAAAACATCTCATGGACTCCAAAAATATATACAGCTATTATTTACCCAAACAAAAAAGAGATGTGTGCAAATGGTGACCAGAAGAGAGTAGGAGTAGCCTACTTATATTAGACAAAATAAACTTTAAGTCAAAAACGGTCGAAAGAGACAAAGGAAGGACATTATATGATGATAGGGTTACCCAGAAAGAACAACTATAAATATATGCACTTAACATCAGAGCTCTCAAACACATGAAGCAAACTTTGATATAATTAAAAAAAGCAGATAGCAGCACCATAATAGTAGGAGACTTTAGTATTCAACTTTCATTAATGAATAGAACAACCATACAGAAGGTCAGTAAGGAAACAGAGACTTGAATAGCAACACAGCCCAGTGTATTTAGCAGGAATATACATAACACTTGATGAAACAACGGTAGAATGTGCCTCCTCCTCTTTCTTCTCCTCTTCCTTCTTCTCCTCTTCCTCCTCCTCCCGTTCCTCCTCCTCCTCCTCCTCCTCTTTTTTTTTTTTTTTTTTTTTTGAGACAGAGTTTCACTCTTGTTGCTCAGGCTAGAGGGCAATGGTGTGATATTGGCTCATGCAACCTCTGCCTTCCGGGTTCAAACATTTCTCCTGCCTCAGCCTCCCAAGTAGCTGGGATTACAGGCATGTGTCACCACACTCGGCTAATTTTGTAATTTTAATAGAGACAAGGTTTTGCCATTTTGGTAAGGCTGGTCTCAAACTCCTGACCTCAGCTGATCTGCCTGGTTTGGCCTCCCAAAGTGCTGGGATTACAGGTGTGAGCCACTGCGCCTGGCCTGCATTCTTCTTAAGCACATATGGAACATTCTCCAGGATAGACACATGTTATATGACAAAACAAGTATCAACAAAGTTAAGACTGAAATTATACCAGGTATCTTCTTTAACCACAGTAAAATGAAACCAGAAAGCAGTTCAAAGAAAAACTGAAAAGTCCACCAACATTTAGAAATTAAACAACACATTTAAAATAGCCATTGGGTCAAAGGATAAATCATAAGGACATTTAGGAAATATCTTGAGACAAATCAAAATGTAAACTCAACATGCTAAAACTTATGGGATTCAGTGACCTCAGTTCTAAGAGAGAAGATTATAGTGATGATAATTTATAAAAGAAGAAGGATCTCAAATCAACAACTGAATTTATACAGCATGGAACTGGAAAAAGAACAAATAAAGTCAATGTTAGCATAGGGCAGGAAATGGTAAAAATCTGAGCAGAAATAAATGAAATAGTGCAGCAGTCTCCAGCCTTTTTTTTGTCCCAGGGACCAGTTTCATAGAAGATAGTTTTTTCATGGACCATGGGTGGTGGGGGCACAGTGGTGATGGTTTTGGTATGATTCAAGTGCATTGCATTTATTGTGCACTTTGTTTCTATTATTATTACATTGTAATATAAAATGAAATAATTATACAGCTCACCATAATGTAGAATCAGTAGGAGCCCTGAGTTTGTTTTTCTGCAACCAGACGGTCTCATCCTGGGATGATAGGAGACTGATAGATTATCAGATATTAGATTCTCATAAGGAGCACACAATCTAGATCTGTTACATGTGCAGTTTACAATAGGGCTCACTGTCCTATAAAAATCTAATGCTGCCATTAATTTGACAGGAGACGGAGCTCAGGCAGTAATGTGAGTGATGGGCAGTGGCTGTAAATACAGATGAAGCTTTGCTCTCTTGCCTACTGCTCACTTCTTGCTGTGGTTCCTAACAGGTCATGTACCTGGTTGGAGAACCCTGGAATAGAAAAAAGTAAAGCAGTGGGAAAAAAATCAGTGAAACTAAGAGTTGTTGTTGCTTTTTTAAACATCAACAAAATTGACAAATTCTTACATAGACTAAGGTAAAAAGAAGAGTACATAAATAAGTAAAATCAGAAATTAAGAAGGAGGCATTATAACATGCCACAGAAATAGGATTATAAGAGAATGCTATGAAAAGTATATGCCAAGAAATTAGATAATTTAGAATGAATGGATAATTTTCTAGAAATATACAACTTACTGAGACTGAATCAAGAATAAATTTAAAAAAATCGGAAAAGACCTATAGCTAATAAGGAGATTGAATCAATAATAATAATCTTTTCAGCAAAGAAAGCTGAGGAGTAGATGGCTTTCCTGGAGAATGCTGTCAGTTGTTTAAACAAGAATTAATACCAATTCTTCTGAAACTTACAAACATTTTATGAGGAGGAAACATTACCAAACTGATTTTATAAGGCCAGTGTTACCCTGATACCAAAGCCAGATCAAGATGATGTAAGAAAGAAAACTTAGGCCAATATCCCTGATGAATATTGATGGAAAAATCCTTAATAAAATACTAAGAAATAGAATTTAACAGCACATTAAAAGAATTATATACAATGTCAAATTAAGATTTCTTTCTGGAATGCAAGGATGGTTCAACAATGCAATGTACCACATTAACAGTGAATTACAAAAATGCAATGTACCACATTAACAGTGAATTACAAAAACCATATGATCGTATATCAACTGATGCAGAAAAAGCATTTGACAGAATTCAACACTGTTGATATTAAAAAAACCCAAAACACTGAACAATCTGTGAATAGAAGGAAACTACCTCAACATAATAAAATATATATGGAAAGCCCATGACTAACACCATATTGGACAGTGAAAAACTGACAGTTTTTCCTCTAAAATCAGAAACAAAGCAAGGGTGCCTATTCTTCCCATTTCTATTCAGCACAGTATTTGGAAATCCAGTTAGAGCAATTAGGCAAGAAAAAGAAATGAAAGGCATCTAAGTTGGAAGGGAAGAAGTAAAATGATCTGTTTGCCTATGGCATGGCCTTATACCTAAAAAACTGTAAAGATTTCACCAAAAACTGTTAGGACTAGTAAATGAATTCAGCAGAGTTGCAGGGCACAAAATCAATACACACAAATCAGTTGTGTTTCTATGTGTTAAGAGTGAACAGTTTGAAAAGTACAAAAATAATTCCTTTTACAATAGCATCAAAAAAATAAAATACTTAGAAATAAACTCAGCCAAGGTGGCAAAAGAGCTCTACCCTGACTCCACCAAGGAGGCAAAAGAGTTGTACACTGAAAAGTAGAAAATTGTTGCTGACAGAATTCAAGAGACCCAAATAAATGTAAAGACATCCCTTGTTCATGTTGTGGATGACTTAATATGTTGAAAATCTATACTACCTAAAACAATCTACGGATTCAGTGCAGTTCTTATCAAAATCCCAGTGGCACTTTTTTTTTTTATAAATAGAAAAACAATTCTGAAATTAATGTGGAATCTCAAGGGACTCTCAGTAGCCAAAACAATATTAAAAAGGAGAACAAAGTTGCAGGCTTTACACTTCTGGATTTCAAAACTTATTACAAGGGTATAATACATAATGAAAATAATGTTAGACTTGCTTAGACACATAGGACAATGGAACAAAACAGAATGTCCAGAAAAAACTTTTGCATATATGGTCAAATGATCTTTGACAAATGAGGCAAGGCCACATACTGGGGAAAGGACAGTGTGTTAAACACATGATTTTGGGAAAACTGGATATCCAGATTAAAAAAAGTTATATGCTTAATTCATATTATATATTATGTACAAAAATGAGCTGAAAATAGATTAAAGACCTAAAAGTAAGATGTAAAATTATAAAATTCCTAAAAGAGGCCAGGTGCAGTGGTTCACGCCTGTAATACAGCACTTTGGGAGGCCCACATGGGCGGATCATGAGATCAGGAGTTTGAGACCAGCCTCGCCAACATGGTGAAACCCCGTCTCTACTAAAAATACAAAAAAATTAGCTGGGTATGGTGGCAGGCACCTGTAGTTCCAGCTACTTGGGAGGCTGAGGCAGGAGAATCATTTGAACCCAGGAGGCGGAGGTTGCAGTGAGCTGAGATTGTGCCATTGTACTCCAGCTTGGGTGAAACGACAAGACTCCATCTCAAAAAAAAAAAAAAAAAAAAACCATAAGAAGCTTTATGACATTGAATTTGTCAGTGATTTCTTGATTGTGACACCAAAAGCACAGGCAACCAAAGTGAAAACAGACAAGTAATAAGATGATGTCAAAGTTGCAAAGTTCTGCGCATCAAAGAAAATACCCAGCAGAGTGGAAAGGTAACCTACAGAGTGAGAGTAAATATTTAGCAATCATATATCTGATAAGGGGTTAATATCTAGAATATATGAATTCTATGACTCAAAGAGAACAGCAGCAAAACAAATGCATAAAAGAGTTGAGTAGACATTTCTTTAAAGAAGATATAAAAATAGCCAATGAACATATGAAAAGATGCTTAAAGAACATATGAAAAGTTATTAGAAATGTGCTCATTTAAACTACAGTGAACTATCACTTCACCTTCTAGGATGACTACTTAAGAAAACATAGTTAACAAGTGTTGGTGAGAATGTGAAGAAATTGGTACCTTTGTGCACTGTTGATAGAAATGAAAAATGGTGCAGCCGCTATGGACAACAATATAGAGGTTCCATAAAAAATTACAAATAGAACTTCCATGTGATCCAGTAATCTCACTTATGGGATATATACAAAATAATTGAAAAGAGGATCATGGAGACATATTTGCACACAAAAAATAATTGCCCACCCATGGACATATTTGCCCACCCATGTTCATAGTAATATCATTCTCAGTAACGAAGAGAAAGGAGTAACCCAGATGTCCATTAGTAGATGAACGGATAAAGAAAATGTGACAGATACACACATGCACACAGAGGACCATTATTCAACCTTAAAAAAAAACAAATCCTGTCATCAGTTAAAACATAGATGAGCTATGAAGACACTCTGCTAAGTGAAATGCTTTGGTCACAAAAAGACATATACTGTATGTTTCCGTTTATATAAGGTATCTAAAAGAGTCACCAACTCATAGAAACAGAAAGAAAAATTGTGATTGTCAGGGGCCCGTGGGGAGCAGGAAATGGCGAGTTGTTAAATGGCTACAGTTTCAGTTTTGCAAGATGTAAGAGTTCTAGAGATTTGTTTTTTAACAATATAAATATAGTTAATGTTCCTCAGTTATACACCTAAAAATGCTTAAGATGGTAAGTTGTATGTTATATGTTTTTGAAAGCAATTAAAAAGAAAAGAATATAAGGAAAAAAAGATAAAATGTGATGTATTGGTCACTTTTACATTTTTAAGGTAAGGTTTTAATGTCAAGTCGTCTTGATTTCCGTTACATACATCTTTAAAATAAAATTCAGCCAATTTTACAAGTAAGCAAGGAGGGATCCTCTTATATGATACTTTTAAAAGATTATCAGTGGTCTCTCTCCTTAAAGTTTGACACCTGTGTTGATTTGTACTTAGATTCTCTTTTTGTGGCATACTATTTAACTGTTTTCTTTTTAATTCTTAGGGTACATTTAAATTCAAAGCAGAAAGCGACCTTTTCCTTGCTGAGCATCACAGACTTTTGTTGTACGATGGCAAACTCTCTAGTGCCATTGCATTCATGTACAATCCACGGGCTACAGATGCCCAGCTTTGCCTTGAGTCATCCCCTAAGGACAACTCTTCAATTTTTGTTCATTCACCACATGCACTTATGCTCCAGGTACTAACTGTGATCTTTTAAGAACATTTTTAATGGTAATTTTTGATGTGTTATTGAGATGTATTTAGTAGCTTCTGTTAAACACATGGAATGTCACATTTTACTGTTTCTCCGTTTACTGTTGTGCCTTATTTTTAATTGTTTTGGAAAAGAAATCATTGAACTCTTTACTGTGTTTTTAATCTTACAAGGATGTGAAGGCAGTTTTAACACATTCCATTCAAAGTGCTATGCATTCAATTGGAGGCGTACAAGTACTATTTCCACTTTTTGCACAGTTGGATTACAGGCAATATTTGTCTGATGAGGTTGACTTGACTGTCTGGTGAGTGCCTTTATTTGTTTCTTTAATTTGCTGTGAGCGTTACTTTCATTACTGTTGAACTATACAATATTTTGTCGTTCAGGTTCGTTCTAGATTCAAAATAATTTAAAGAAACTTGTGAACTCTAAACTATTACAAGTCTGTGTTAATTATGTCAGTATTAATTTAAGTTCTTGTTTATTGGTAGGAAATATGGAAGCTGTAAGGAACACAGTAAAGTGGTTTTAGATTAACGTAACAAATGGCAATAATAGGTCACTCAAAATAAATACATTTTTTTGTCTAAATTAAAATTTTTTTGATACCTGTAACTCAGAATGCAATAAGAAATTTCTAATTTTTGAAATATTTTAAATTATTTGATAATGATTTATCGAACTTAGCTTTTCATATTTTAATTATTATTGATTGCATTTATGTAATTGGAAGCCAAAATTTTTAATAGTGTTGTCTGAGGTAAATTAGCCTTTTTTTTTTTTTTTAAATGTAATCAATTTTCACTTTAAGACCTCAAATTATGAAACTACGAAAAAAAAAATAGATTGAGGAAACTCTCCAGGGCATTGGACTGGGCAAAGATTTCTTGAGTAATACCCCACAAGCACAGGCAAGCAAACCAAAAATTGTCACATGCATGAGATCACATCAAGTTAAAAAGCTTCTGTACAGCAAATTGAAAAGATAACCAACAGAATGGGAGAAAATATTTGCAAACTATCCACCTAACAAGGGATTAATAACCAGAATATATAAGGAGCTCACACAACTGTGTAGGAAAAAAATCTATTATAATAATCTGATTTAAAAACAAGAGGTACGAATAGACAGGTCTCAAAAGAGGATATAGGAATGGCAAACAGGCACAATTAGATTGTACATTTAGCACATTTTTGTCTCTTGTGTTGTAGTTCTGAGTCTAAAAAAGACAAAGGCATATAAATTCTAGAGTAAGTTATAAAATACGGGACAGGATGTCTAAATTTCTCGTATCTGTATATTCTAGTGAAACTATATATAGTGAAATTATTGTTTCATTTGTAGTGAAATTATTGTTTTGTTACTTGAGAAATTTAAGTGACTTTTACATTCTCTCATTTTGAAATTCTCCCTTTGATTTTTTGCTTTTATACATAGCTTGATGTCTACCACCAATGTGTATAGTTAATGATGGAATAGTTTTGTCCTGATTATTTTTAGACAACTTTTTTTTTAAAGAAAAAGTTATCAAATCTAGTATTTGTCAACTTATATTTTAAAATATTAAAATTTAATTAACCTTGACATATTAATACTTTATAGAATTATTTTGTGCCCTGTTCTAGCAGGGCTTACAGTTTTCCTCCTTCCCTTCCTCCCCTTCTTTTTCCCTTACCTTCCCCCTTCCCCCTTCTTTCCCCCTTCTCTTTTCTTCCCCTTCCTTTCCCCATTCCTTCCCTTTCCCCTTCCCTTCACCCTTCCCTTCCCTTCTCCCTTCCCTTCCTTTCTCCCTTCCCTTCTTTCCCTTCTCCCTCCCCTTCCCTCTCTCTTGCCTACCTGCCTCCCTCTCTCCCTCCCTCCCCTTTTCCCTCCCTTTCCCCTTTCCCTTCTCCTCTCCTCTCCCTTCCTCCTTCCCCCTTTATTGGAATTGCTGACAGTGAAAGCACTGATGTGGAGGAGACGGGCTGCTGCACAGGCTTTCTGTCTCTTTTTTTGGGGGGAGGGGAGGTGGGACTTTTCTCTGAGAAGGCTATAACAACTGACCTTATTCCTTTCCCTTCTGGGTATCTTTAAAAATTGTGGGTAGTAGAGCATGGTTGTAGCCCCTATTCAGTTTTAAAAGTGTTCAAGACTGACTGGAGAATTACAATTTTGTTGTTGGGATAATGAACAAACTTCTTAGTGTTCAAGGACCTCAAGTTTGTCTCCAAGTTAACTTTCTCATCTTTCTCTTCATGTACCCTCTGCTCTATTCTTACTAGGCCAGTCTGGAGCCCTAACACATTTTGAGGATTTACACCTTACTCTGTTTGCTGTACTGTCTTTTCCCACCTTTTGACCCCTGACTCTTCAAGGTTAAATATACTTGCTTATCTAAGTTATATCTATTCTTTAAGGCCTTACTATATTTTTATTAAGTATTTGTTATTGCTTGTTTTTGGAGGTTGCTTATTTTTCTCTGTATCATGCATATTTGTCATTGTTTCTAAGTAATTCATCTATTAATATGTTTGGGATAAAGTATACGAAATAAATATTTGAGTAACTCCTAATCCTACATTAAAAATCTAGTTCTGATGTAATGTTGGAAGCAGTTTTAGTGGAATGTCAATTTCTTTGAAATAGAGAACTTTTTATTAAGGTGAATGGAAGGGTTACCTCTATCTAACCTAATTTTTAAAAATAAAATATATTTTTTAATGATTGCCTTTTTAAAAATTCTAGTTCAACCTTGCTGGCTTTTATCATGGAGTTGTTGAAGAACTCAATCGCTATGCAGGAGCAGATGCTTGCCTGTAAGGGCTTCTTGGTAATAGGATATAGCCTTGAAAAGGTAAATTATGAAATATTTTGTGTATTTGATTCTTAATTTACAGGCCATGCATTTGTTCTCTAACTGGCTAAGGAATTTTGTCTGCAAGAATATTTCCTTGGTTGCAGAAAATTACCTAAAGTAAAATAACATTTTGTTGTTGCCTCCATTCTTCTATTAAACAAATGTAATAGTGAGCCTCCTTTGTTCCTTACATTAAACAAATGTAATAGTGAGCTTCTTTAACTTTGAGCATAATTTGTGGGCCAACTTTTTTCCTGGTAGGAATAGCCTGTAATTCACTTACTTTGACGTGAATTTGTAGTAACATTTGAACTACTTTTTTTGCAGTCTTCCAAATCTCATGTCAGCAGAGCAGTACTTGAACTTTGCCTTGCATTTTCAAAATATCTGAGTAGTCTGCAAAATGGGATGCCCCTGCTCAAGCAATTATGTGATCACATTCTTCTTAATCCTGCCATATGGATTCATACCCCAGCCAAGGTAATATATAGCTATATATCGATATTGTTTTACTATCTTTGCTGTTTTTGTGCTTGAGAAGAGTGAAAATTAAGAGGATTTTCTTTTTTTTTTAAATGTACTATTATGCAAGATTTCAGTGGGTTGCTTTTTTTTTGACTAAGCATCCTTTTTTGCTCTTCAGGAAAAATTGCAAATCTGTGTGTGTATATATATGAATATATACAAAGAATATGTGCATACAAAGAATATGTATATTCTTTGTAAACTGTCATTATTTTAAAAGATACAGGTATAATCTTTATTTTCTGAAACTAAATGAAATAAAGTTTTGAGACTTTATTTACTAAATATAAATCAAAGTTAGACAGTTTTAATGTAATTATTAATGTCTCCTAGTAACTGTAGCTTCGTTCTATTGTAAATATGCATATATATTTTTTCTTTTTTTTCTATTCCTTAAGAACTCACCCTGCTCCTGCTCTCTCTCTTTTTTACTTCACACTTTTGCCTTCCAACGTGATGAACTACTGAATTTCATTCTTACAGGTACCACTGAAATGTCACTTTTTCTTTGAAGGCATGATACACTAGTCTCATGTAATCATTTTCGTTTCACGTTAATGCAAATTATAAGAACATTTGTACAATTTTTTTTTCAGTTTTGTAAAAACCAATTCTACGTGAATGCAGATGAATTTGTGGTAAGGTGTGTGAACAACATATTTAATAAATCTTAATGTTGTAATAAATTGTCCTGCCGGGCGCGGTGGCTCACGCCTGTAATCCCAGCACTTTGGGAGGCCGAGGCGGGTGGATCACGAGGTCAAGAGATCGAGACCATCCTGGTCAAAATGGTGAAACCCCGTCTCTACTAAAAATACAAAAAATTAGCTGGGCATGGTGGTGCGTGCCTGTAATCCCAGCTACTCAGGAGGCTGAGGCAGGAGAATTGCCTGAACCTAGGAGGCGGAGGTTGCGGTGAGCTGAGATTGCGCCATTGCACTCCAGCCTGGGCAACAAGAGCGAAACTCCGACTCAAAAAAAAAAAAATTGTCCTAAAAATTCAGTAGTGGCACTATTAAGCATGACTTGAAACAGAACGTTTTATTAAACTGAACAGTTGTATCTATCTTATGTACAATTTTTGTTAGAAGTTGTATTATTTCAATCCCACTGTTTTCCTCTCTCCCCTTCTGCTTTTGGGTCCACTTGCAGTGTATCTCATTGATTAAGTTGGAATAGCTCTTACTTATTCTAGTTGTCAGAAAAGTCTGCAGACTTTTTTTTTGCTTTTCTAGAGTCTTAATACCTTATTTTCAGCTGGTCTTTTCAAATGTTAAAGAGAAAAACAGCTGCTGACTCTGATTGCCATTTGGAAATAATCAAAGGAGGCAGCTGGAGGTTGTAGCTTTTTATCTCCAGGTCGAATTTGACCTCATTTTCTTCCATGACCCTCAGTCTTATTTCTTCTTGAGGATTGTTTCAAGTTACTTTTAAAACCTTTTACTAGACACTTTTTTGTCTTACTAATCAGCATATTTGTAAGGCTTTGTGTCTCTTTTGATGTGGTCAGAAAACCTCTTATTTTATATGCTTAGTTGGAGGGGAATTAAAAAAACTCATCTTATGGTTTTCTTAGTTTCCTAGTATTATTATACCCTATTTCTTTTACTTTTTAATAACTTTTCTTAATTTCTTTTTTAGAATTTGCAATGAGTCGATACTATTAACATTCTCTCCTGTTTTAGCCATCTGCTTTATGTATCTACGAGGGGTTTTGTCTGCTTTTATTTTATTATAAAGACAGTAATAAAAAAGGGCAGATCCAAATTTTGTTTGACTTGAAGGTTAAATGTTTATCACATGGGAAACTTTTTAAGAAGAAGAGTACAATATAATGCATACAAAATTAGGTTGAGGGTCTTGGAAGAAACATTAATAGATCAGTGGTCATAAAGTTTAAGCTTTATCAGCTTCACAGTCAATCCACCTCTGGTTAAAAGTCTGGTTGTGTGGATGTGAAAAGCTTTGCTTTTAGAAAAGGGAGCTACCAGCGATTTATAATTTCCATTTATCTTAGATCTGCTCAGAGACCATCTTTTTAATGACCTGGCAGGAGAGATGAATTTTCTTGTCTACTGTGGTCCATCGTTTATTCAGCAAGTATTTGTTGAGTGACTACTTTATGGTGGACACTGTGTATATGGTGATGAACAAGATAGACTTGACTCTTACCCTCATAGAATTTAGATCTAGTAGGAAAGACAGATGTTAACACACAATTTGTATGGCTATTAGAGTATATAATGAGTGAATGAGGAAAGGCTTATTCATAATTAGCATATGAATAATCTTGAGGTCTTTCATTCATCCCTATATGGTGCTGTTAAATTCTGTTTGTTTATTTTTTTGACACAGGGTCTCACTGTGTCACCAAGGCTAGATTGCAGTGATGGGATCTCAGCTCACTGCAAACTCCACCTCCCTAGCTCCTCCTGAGTAGTTGGGACTGTAGGTGTGTACCACCACACCCAGCTAATTTTTGTAATTTTTGTAGAGATGATGTTCTGCCATGTTGCCCAGGCTGGTCTTGAACTCCTGGGCTCAAGTGATCCACCTGCCTCAGCCCCACAGAGTGCTGCAGTCACAGGTGTGAGCCATCAAGCCTGGCCTCTGTTCATTTTTCTTTTACCACAGTATCATTCTCAATGGACTGACTTTCTCTAGTTTTCCATTTCTTTGTGTAAATAATCACTATTCTACCAGAATTACAACATGTTCTTCTATTTTGTTTGAGACAGAGTCTTGTTCTGTCATCCAGGGTAGACTACAGTGGTATGGCCATGGCTCAGTACAATCTTGAACTCCTGGGCTCAATCAGTCCTTCTGCCTCAGCCTCCTGAGTAGCTGATACTGCAAGTGTGCATCACCATTCCCAGCTAACGTTTTACATTTTTTGTAGAGACTGGGGTCTTACTTTTTTGTCTAGGCTGGTCTTGAACTTCCAGCCTCAAGCCATCCTCCTCTCTCAGTCCCAAAAAGTGTTGGGATTATAGGGTTTAGCCACCATGCCCAACCCCAATATATTCTTAACATATGACTCATCATTTCTTAGCCCCAGAAATTTTAATCGTTTTCCATTGCTCTCAGTAGTCCTTTATCTAGCATTAAGCCTTCATGTAAATTCTTATTTCTAGATTTTCTAGCTTAAAAATGGAAATATCCTCTGGATAGGGAGGTACCAAAAGGTTTCCCTAGAGTGGTGGTTCTCAGTCTTGACTGCTGATAGAGTCAGTTGGAGTATCTTTTTAAAAACAAACAAAAATAGAATCTCACCACTTCCACTGCAGATTCTGATTTTATCAGTCTGGTGTTACTGGTGGAGGGTGTCCAGGTTCGTGGCGTCTTGAACAAAGAATTGGACAAAATGCACAAAGCAAGGAAAGAATGAAGCAGCAAAAGCAGAAATTTATTGCAAATGAAAGTACACTCCACAGTGTGGGAGCAGGCCTGAGCATAGAGGCTCAAGACCTCTGTTACAGAATTTTCTGGGGTTTAAATAACCTCTAGAAGTTTCCATTGGTTGCTTGGTGTTTGCCCTATGTAAATGAAGAGGGTGAAGTAAAGTTACAAAGTCATTTACTTGGTGTATGCCCTGTGTAAATGGAGCGGATATTTCCTGTCATAGCTGAAGCATTCTATTTGATTTAGTTCTAGGAAGCCCTTAGGCTCCCTGCCTCCAGATCTTATTCTCCTGCCTCACTGGGATGGGACTCAGGCATCAGTATTAAAAAAAAAAATGTTTTTCAGTTATTTTAGTGTGCAGTCAAAATTGAGAACTGTTGTTCTAACTCTAGGGCAATCTATTTCAACCATCATCTTTCTTGCTTGAAATTTCCTCTTGTATTCTGTCTATTGTACTACTCATCTTCAAAGCTTACCTTAATACCTACTTTATTAGTGAAGCTTTTCTTCACTATTTCAGTTTATCCTATGATAATTTGTCTGTCCTTTGAATTAGTATTTCCTAGCTCTATGTCAATTACACATTGCTTCATGACTTTTTTCATGTTTTGGTAGGCATATTTATTATCTTTGATTTGTTTTGCTTAAATATAAGTGTACTTTTTAAAATCTTTTCCACTGTATTTCAGCTACTTAGGGGCAGTATATGTGCCATTATATTTCCATGATACAGTGTTTTGCATATAGTTAGATTTAAATATTTGCTAAGGGACTGAAATAATATGGTTAAGAATTTGAGCCATGTCATATTGCCTCAATGACAAGTAGATTGGGCCTATCAATTTGAACAGCAATAGCTACATCAAAATAACATTTTGCAGCAAATCAGTAGATCACAGTGTGTGTGTGTATGGTTTTGTGAATTACAATCATCTTTCAAGCCCCACTTTTAAGTAATTCAGAACCTGCCACTTTTTACCATGTAGGATTTATTCATTGACACTCTAATTCATTTAGGCTTGTTTATTTGTAGGGCACCTGGAAGATAGGTACCTAGTTTTCACTCTCTAGAGAGATCCCCTAGGTAACACTGAGGTATCTTGCAGGGTTGAAAAGGAAAATGCCCTCATTGTCCAGGAAGGTAACATAAATGTTCAATTATAAATGATCAGTAGTTTGGTCTGTGGTCAAGGGAAGAATATATATATCCTATGCTTAAAGTTGTTCAGCTTATAAAATATACCCACTACAATAAAATGAAAAATTCTTGATTTCAGCATGAGAGTAGAACAAAAGCTGTCGTTATTTTTGCTGCTGTAAGTAATGAAGTATAGTTGATGAGTTTGAGACCCATAATTTTACTGAAAAAAAAAAAAATTTTTTTTTTTTCGAGGCAGGTTCTCATTCTGTCGTCCAGGCCGGAGTGCAGTGGTGCTATCTTGGCTTACTGCAATTTCTGCTTCCTGGGTTCCTGCCTCAGCCTCCTGAGTACCTGGGAGTACAGGCGTGCATCAGCATGCCTGGCTAATTTTTGTGTTTTTTGGTAGAGACGAAGTTTCACGATGTTGGCCAGGCTGGTTTTAAACTCCTGACTTTAAGTGATCTGTCCGCCTCAGCCTCCTAATGTGCTGAAATTACAGGTGTGAACCACTGTGGTGGGCCAGTTTTTTGTTAAGAAGAAATGTGCAGTCATGGGGTAGCACATGTATTATTTCTTTCTCTTACGTATGAAGAGCTGATATTTTGAAGTTAATATAAACATATACAACTTCTTATGTATTTTTTAGACTATGTACTTATCAATGAGGTTAGTAGAATCCTTTCCTAATTGAGGGACATGATATACATGTTGAGAGATTATAATGTTATGATGAAAATGCTAGATTGGAATGTTTCTTGTAAGAAGCTACTGTAACTGAATTTTGTTTTTCTAGTATTCCTCGAGGTAAACTCTATATCTTTTTCTATGATTTTCTTTCTTTCGGTTTATTTCTATTTATTTTTTCCTTTTGAATTACTACTACTTTTTTCTTTCTTTTGAGCCATTTCAGCTTCTGATTTTCTGCAAAAGTTACATTTGAAAGAAAATCTAGTGTTTTCAAACAACTATGCATAGATAGTATAAGTAATAAGTCTGTTATAAAGAAATTACTCATGCTCAGGAATAATTGCTGGTTGCTAAATAGGAGTCACAAAATTATTTCCATGGAATAATGCAGCAAAAAAATTATATATTTGATGGTGTTTACTTTATAATGCTGTTATAAAAGAAGAAATTACCTGGCTTGGTTTTATAAGGAGTGTGTGTGCATGTGCTTGTATGTCAATGGGTTTGTGTTATCTAATACGGATATTATTATCAGGCTCAGCATCTTACTTTTTGGAAGAAGTATGGTGAAAATAAAACAGCCTGAAAGTGTTACTGGAAACAGAAACTCTGCTGGTGGGGTTCTCTAAGTTCTTCATTTTTCTTCTGTAGGTTCAGTTAATGCTCTATACTTATCTGTCCACGGAATTCATTGGTACGGTAAACATATATAATACCATTCGGAGAGTCGGAACAGTGCTTCTCATCATGCACACGCTGAAGTACTACTATTGGGCAGTGAATCCTCAGGATCGAAGTGGTATCACCCCAAAAGGATTAGGTATATCTGTATATTACTAAATGCAAATCAGGATTTAATTTTTCATTTTGTTTTAACCAGTACTGTCATATTATTTGGGCAGTTTCTCTATATTCCATTATGGTAAAATTTTTTTTAATCTCATTGATAATGTTAATAGTTTGTCCTACATTATAGTTTCTAGAGGTTAATAACTTGTGGAAGAATAATACTTGTGCTGGTATGAGTTGTTGGGGGAACAAATATGACTAGGATGGTTGTTGTAAGGCACTGAAAATGCTGAGAAATTCTTAATTAGTTTTTAGTAATTGATATTGAGAATTGATTATCACAATGACATTCGTAGAAATGGTGTTTTGGAAATATGGGGGTTTCTTACAGAAGTAGGAGGTATCTGCTTCTCTTAAAGATATAATTATTAAATTACAAAATGTTAGTAATTATTTTCTTACATAATGAGGACTAACTAGCTGAAAGGGTAATATTTATTCATCATGTCCAGAAGTTCATGTTAAGGGGTCATAATAGAACATTTGACATATAGTGGCTGTTTTGCTTGTAATTATTGCAATCTCCTTGGAATTGGCTTACATGAAAAAGGGAGGTAATCAGCTTGTATAAACTGGCAGTTTCAGATACAACTTGGTGTAGATATTCAGAATATGGCCACAGGACCGAATTTGTCTTGCTGCATTTACCAGTTCTGCGTTGGCTGTTTTTACATATTCTTCCCCTTTGTAGTAGCAAGCAGCCAGTCCACTTTCACATCCATAATAACTTAAATCCAGTGTAAGAGCATCTGCCTATATAAAATATTTCCAGTGAAAGTCTCTTTTAGTCTCTTTCTTGCTCATTGGCTTTCATTGTATCATGTGTCCATTTCTGTGGTTAGAATTGTTCTGATTGCTTAGAAATGGAGGCATCCTGTACCTTGAAAGACATGGTCTGAGAGTGAAGATGACTTCAGTCACTTGGTAAAAATTAAGGACTGTTGCTTGAAATTAAGAAATAGATGCTGAGGAGTCAAATAACATGCATTCTGATTGCAGTAAGAGGCTTTGGTTGTTTGCGATTTACAAAGATTGTCACATTTGCATACTACTTTTTATATCACTTTCAAAATAAGCTTGGTTTAGTCTCAGATAATCTGGTATCTATAATTCAGCAAGCTATGAACTTTTTAAGCTGGCAAGGTTGTGGCAGATGTAGACCTGGTCAGAATTTTCTGATGATTATTTCATGGTGCTGTAGGTGTATCATGTACTGTACTAGGTGCTAGTTTTGTATTCTTGCCTGCCTTTCATAATTGGTTAGTGACCTTGGGAAAGTCTCATTCTTCAAATGAGAGAGCTGGACAAATTTTGTGATCCTATTCTAACTCTAGCCTATTTTTGTTTTTTTGGTCTAGGAATCATATGGAAGAAATTTTAAACAATTTTCTTCCTATTTTCATTGATCTGTTCAAGGTCATGGTGGTCCTAAGCTTTGGTGGTCTAAGAACTATCTGTAAATCGTGATTATTGGGGGTAAATTGTAAAATATATGAGGCAAACAGGTCACTAACTTAGGATCTTAGAACAATGAGTATTTGGTTTCAAAAGCTTTCTACTTGGAAATTAAATGTTTGAGACATGAAAATTAATTTAATGTGAGCCATGTGTGACCAAGGACTTTTCTAAGCAGAGAAGGAGGTGTCAGAGGCAGTCATCATAATGTTTCCCTTCTTCATGAATGATACCGTGTGGTGAGGGATTCTTTTTCAGATTTTTGTATTAGCCTATATAATGATAACAGTAGAAGAAATGTTGTCATACTGAATTCACATATAATAATAATGTTGAAAATTTAGATTTTCCTTTGTTTTTTTTCTTTTAAACATTTGTTACTTTACTAACACTCTCAGAGTCTGAAAATAAGTGCATTATTAGTGAATACAAATTTTATTTGTTACCTCATTTTTATGTTTTGGACATTCACCTATTCAAAGTACAAACTTCTTCATTGTAGTTTCAACATAACCTGTTTTGTATGTTTGAAATATTGTGTATACGATGCATGTAAGATTGAACACTTGTCTTTCTAGAGGCATAAAATAAAAGAGAGGTCATTCTTTTAGGGGACTGACCGTTATGTTTCTTACAAACAAATGGAAAAACTCTTGGGAATAAGAATTTTATATTTTGACAGCTTTGAGTGTATATTTTTCATATACTAAATGTGTATGTGTATATATTTTTTTAAAGATGGACCACGACCTAATCAAAAAGAAATACTTTCTCTACGAGCATTCTTGTTGATGTTCATTAAGCAATTAGTGATGAAGGTGAGTTCACATTGCGTATCCCATAGCATACTGTATATTGTAGCTTATAATTTCAGATGAAATACAATCTTGGTTTATTTGTCCTTTGCTTGGTTACTATGGTTACAGATAAGAAAATACTTTGAAAGATGTTTCCATGTTTGTTTTGGTTCTTTTTTGGAGCCTATATGGATATAAATTGCTGCAGAATTGGGGATTGGTAGTTGTATTTTATGTTATATAAAGTTCTTTAGTAGCTCAAGTGTGTTGATTCATTTAGCAAATATTTACTGTGTTTCTGTTAGTATTTGGCACTATTCTTTGCATTGGCAATACAGTAGTCAACAAAACTCCTAAAGGAGGTTTCATTTTTATCAGGCTCCTTGTAACTGGCATTCAGATTTTAAGAAATAGTATTTCTGTATACTTGTACCTGGTAGGTGTATGAGCCTTTAGAATTGGTCACATTTTGTCCTTTTCCATTTTATTACAGGTAAAGTAAAATTAATACTCTAAAGAAGGCATTTTACTTTTATAAGATAGGAATATATAAATGTACTTGTTGCCAATGTTTTTTTCAGTATTTTCCTATATGATTTTATAATGCTTTATTAGTTGTCACATAAGATTATGGCAAGTGAACGTAGCTTTTAGTATACCTTTCAGATTCAGATACCTTATTTCCATTTATTAAAAAAAAGTATCCTTTGAATTGTCTCTGTTTTGTTGCTCGTTCCTGGTGCATACTGTTTTTTGTTTTCCAATTTGTTTCTTCTTGTTTTTTTTTTTTTTTTTTTTTTTTTTTTTTGTTTGAGATTTTTTATTTATTTTTTTTTTGGGGTGGGTGAAATTTTTTTTTTTTAATTTATG